AATATCATTTCACATCTTTAAGACTAAAATCTCGTAAACCAAGGAAAAAGAAGTAAACATTTAGCATTCCTTCAAGCAGTAACAATAAACTGCAGGCAGTCCCTTTATTTTCCTGGCGTGTGAAGCGAATTCACGAATGCGATGGAGCAGCATACAACTCCCGATTAATCGAGCGGAGGATTTCAGGAACAAGATCCCACTCTTCTTTTAGTTTTGTTAGTTGTTTGGTCTAACCTAGAAATTTTAAAATGTCTTTCTAGTTTAATTAAATCCTCTTTAACCTATTTTTTTCCTGTGTCCAACATGCAAAGTCTTCATCCATATTAAAGATCGATGAGATTCGAATTAGGAAAGATAATAATAATAAAAAAAAAACACAATAAACAATACAGTCTTTCTCACAGGTAACTCTTCGTAAACACATTCCAGACACGTTATTTAGAGGCCACTCTAAACGTCTAAGGTAATAAAGAGCTCCCCATCTTACGAGTCCATATTCCGTGCTGACTTAAAGGGGCTCAGTCACGCTATTTTGAGTTATTTTGGCCACATACAAAATTACCTTTAAATGGTAGGAAACCTGAGAATAACAGTTTAATAAGACAGAAAAACCCCAGAGACACTGATAAACCATAAAGGAACAAGGACGGCTAAAGATGGGGAAGATTAACACGGATTACAAACGACGAATTTGAAAAATTTAGGCTGAACTTTTCAATACGCGCAAACCGTGACGTAGCTCTTTTAAGACATGTCACTTCGCAAGTATGCTTCAATCTACTTGAATTGTACCTAACTGCCTAGTGTGGGAATACTACAAGAACACCGAAACATTGCGCCATATTAACACATTGAGCCCTTCAATTGCGAGATGTGATCAAACTTTAATTTCTGGTTTCAGTTCCAACACATTAACAAGCAAAAAGGTGACAAGAATAGAGAACATCATTAACTACGTGATATTGTCTTAATTGATGCGGTTTCAAATTCTCATAATTTACATTAAATTAACTGTCTGTCTATCATTGAGAAAAATTAACCTTTTCAAATTCACTGAAACGTTTAATCCGTCTTCAATAAGGACGATTTTCCTACCCTGTGATCTTTTGAATCTTTTACTCGACCTTCGCAAATTCATTCTCACGTGTTCATTTTGATAGTTCTATAGATCATATCGATCTCTGATTGATAATTTACTTCACTCATTGCCGGCATAAAATGGATTTCTTCAGGAGAAATTAAATTTTTATTCCAAAAATTGTTATAGACCAACAGGCTTTATACTAGAAGAGTGAGCAATTTCTACCCAACTGTATCTTTATCGTCTCCAGGAAAACTGCATTAAAGTTAACAGTGAATGGGTGATCTATAGCTTTTTCTTCACATGTGCTTATGCTTCTCCTGTTTTTTTTTTTTTTTTTTCATTCTTTTTATTGCTAAGGGGCATTAGTAAATTGATGTTAGTTTTGGAAGGATTAAAATATTTTACTTTTTTTTTTTTTTCCAGAAAGCTGTGATCAACCAATACTTGTATTTACCTACGCGACTGTGAAATCTGCTGAAAAGCTGGCATACGGATGTCTGTACTGAAAGGTTAAGTGCTTGGAAAGAAGTCATGTTTCCCTTTCTCAAAGTTACAAATCGATGAAGCCGATAGAAGATATACCCAATGCGCACGGAAACTTCTACATTTGTGATGTCAACACATTTATTCCTGAGCTGACGAGCATTAATGAGGAAGCAAAAAAAAAAANGGGGGGGGTGTTAAAACGATATTTTCACGATTCAAATCATGTGCAAGGCATGGCGTGATTTTCACTTTCATATTGAATCACATGTAAATCGTGGCAAAACCGGGAAACGTCAAGAAACATGGTTCAATGCCGTGCGGAAACACAGAATGTTTCTGCCGTGTAGCAGAAACATATATTGGTTCTTGGAAACAAAAATTGACGCTGGAAACATTGGCGGAACAAGCGCGCGTTACGCGTGTTCCTGGAAAAATGTTTCCTCGTTTTTCTGGACCTTAATGATTTATTTAGGAAACATTACAAGTTATCTATGAATTTCTAGGGGCGGTTTAAAACAGATCTAAAAACGTTCAAACTAAATTTTCGACTGTCTCCTGTTTTAAACCGCCCCTGTTTTAGAAATCATGGGCACAGATCGCTCCAACAGTTTTATATATCTATTAGTATCTGATTGGTTTAAAAGCAGTAGAATCGAGTGGTGCATGGGAGTTAGAACAGATGAAAGTAATTCCCATGAGAAACATCACCTCTGTCGAATTTTTATATTTTTCTACATCTTTGGGCGAAATTTTTATGGCATGAATATGAAGCAAAACTCATTAGGTCGTCAACGATTGTTTTATAAACAATTGAATCAAACGGCTAGCTGGCGCTAAGGCTTGCACATGTGCTAAACAAGGGTATTATCCTTCTAACATTCCTTATGCTTGCTCAACAACTGTCATGTAAATCGACGAAGGAGTTCTTTTTTGTCGCTATCGTTGTTGGGGCACGGCATTGAGTTGCAATTAAGGTTACCGTATACCTTCAGACTGACAATTTGGGTTTTTGGGTTTTTGGGTCAAAGTAATGAGTAATTTCTGAAAAAAAATGAAAACAAAAAAATGAAAAAAAAAAAAAAACAAAACAAAAAAAAACAACTAAATATTGGTGAAGAAATGGAGGTTTTACGTTATGGCTGGAGGTAAATGTTCCCTCTTGATTGACAGCCCTATAACGTGCATGCAATCAACCGAGACGACTTTCGCGGGAATATTACCCAGTTGATCAGCATTGTTAATCCAAGCATTTTTCGTATTAGGTGTAATTCTATTAAGCTATAAGTAAACATGGACCACGGAAACCTTCGTGGACCAGTTCGAAAGAGCGAAACAGCGAAGAACGAATGAAAATATATCTCGGAGTGAAGAAGCGAAAGTCGGCCTCGCGGATGAAGCTATAACTATCGTATCAAGTGGACAAAAAGATCGACTCAAGAGAAGAGACAGGTTCTGTAAAAGTTTGGGAACTTGACAGTGAGTACAGCGATGTTTACAATGACTCTTCTGTTGAGTCCGATACCGGTGAATCGTTGGACTCATTGAGATCCATTGCAATATTATCCATGCAAAATTGCTCTGCCTCGCTTTCTTTTGTTTGTTTTCTCCGCCCAGCCACTCTAACGTTCGTATCCTTTTTCGTCTTCCCCATTTTGCCAGACCACCTTCAAGAAAAACCGAGCTACAGAAAAATTATCTCTCCACCCAGAACGCATTGCCAAACAAAGGGCGTTTTGGAGATTCGCGCGTAAATTTCACCGCGAGGTTAATGGTAGTGAACTTTCCAAACGCTGATGGGCTCAGTGATCTGGGAACCCAGTTGAAGGCGTATGTGGGCGGAGTTTGTTTGCGAAGCAAGATATTTTTCTTAGCGCTGTTTTCTCGAACAAATTTTTTCACTTGAAGCAGACACTTTAAAGAGTTACAACTCAAAGGGAATTTCTTCGATTGCACTTAAATTCGGACAGCAGCTAGCTTAATATATAAAAACAAAAAGTTCTCTGCGAATTGTTTATTTCGAAATATTTTTCTACGAGAGCGATTTTCGTACGATCACTTCACCTTTTTAAAATCCTATTTCGAAAACGTTCCGTAACTTGTTGCCGCAATTGAATAAGGCAAAACGCAGACACGCCTTTTTAGCGTTTTTTGTCCTGAAACTGAGGAAAAAAAATAAATTGGCGAAAAACAAAATTCACTTTGACTTGTAAAAGGTGATTCGGGCGCTCGCATTTAGTGGTCCTGAGAAGTTCGACAATTTATTTCATTTCAAAATTCTTGGTATACTTTGATAGCCAGCTCTATAAGCTTTAATTTGATATGAGGGTTTGGTTATCTACAGCTTAAACCGGACGCGCTACATCGCTTGGACGCGAGACACCCCTGAAGGTATACGGTAACCTTTAGTCGTGCAATTAAACAGAATTGATCTAATTGTTATGTTATGTGAGATAATACAGCATTCTCGTGTTAATGGTTATTTTAGCTTTGTTTTCGTACCACTTATATGCTATTTCTCAATTAACAAAAAACAACAACAAAAAAAAAACACGTAAAACTGTTAACATAGTACAGGCGTAAACTGTTACCACTAGCTTTGAATGAAACTAGAGTGAAAGAACATGAATTACAAAGTAATGTCATAAAGATAGATCAAATAAAATATTACGACTGAAAAACAAAACAAAGCAAAACAAACGACAACACAAAACAAGGCAAAGAAACTGCAAGCAGTCTAACTTTTTTTAAACAAGTTATAACCTTGACATTTTAATAACGAGGGACCTACGGTAATGATAGCCCAAACGATTTGTTGACCCATTCAAGGTGTATTAGGCCGCAGGCACTATAACACGCCTGGCAAACACGAAATATGCATGCAAGCTAAATAGTTCATTTAGAATCGAAAACTTGAAACTCAAAGACGAGAGATCGATTGGTCCTAATAAAACGCAAAAGATTCGAAGTTGGAAACTCGTTTCATGAAATTTAATTTTAATCTTTGGTGATAAGGGGGTAGAGGCGAATAGGTAAAGGGATATAGGGTGCGGTCTAAAAAGTAATTTTGACAACACAAGACAGATCTGAAATTGTAGAGAATTTTGCATTTGCTACAGATATCACTCACGTTTTTGTCAAAGATCTGCACAAATTCTCAGTTGCGATGAAGAAATCGGGTCAATATACAAATATATTATAATTTAATAGCCGAACATGCCATAGTTGTAGCCATTAGTCTACGAACCAACCACCTCACCCCACCTCCCCGCCAAAAAGCAAGCATGTCCATAATAGAACAGTAGAACGGGCTATTTGCCATCATTGTCATTAGGATAATCTTATAATTGACTTGTCCTAACACGTAGATGACAATCAGCACGTATGCATAGATAGCTCTTGTAGTCATTTTAATGTACATCACACAAAAGTTCCCTTTCAGTCGGAGTAACATGTCGTCTGTGCGCCAACACCCGATTTACTATATTCCAGTTTTCTTGTTCATTTTTGCACTTGCTCCAGCCACCGAAGGTATTATAGTTTTTATCTTAAGTTCCGATATCTTATACCCTCTATGAATCGCCAGCTGAAGTTTATGTCTTGTCGAAGAAATTTGAACAGTGGAGGGGAATTGGGGGAGGGACGCACCGATTGGGGAAGTTATGTTTTGTAGAGCTTCTATTGTGATGACAAATTGTTCTTAATTCCTTCACAGCACTCGGTTTCAAGGCTGGAAAAGAAAACATAACTACCATCACACCAGGACTGTTTGCTTGCAAAGTGATCTACTATCCAAGTCCCTTCTACGGCGGACAGCAAGTAACGGTTCTCGCGTCAGTTGGTCATACCGCACAGAGCCAAACGCCTCGGAACGGCGCTGCAGTCTGGGTTGAAGATGTTACAGCAAGTGAATTCACCGTGTGTGTCCTTGAATTCGGAAATGGTTCCAACAGGACTTTGGAGGTAAACTGGTTATCCTTCCAGGCTTCCCTGCGTGGATCTCAGATTGGTACTGCATCTTTAAATTCTTGGACAGCTGGGACGAAATGCAAGAGGATCGATTTTCAGCAGGTAAGCATTGCATTTTCCTTTTGTTTTCAGCTGATTACTATTTCTCAACAAAAGAGATGTTAGCTTAATCAGATTCTACGATTAGACAGGTTGCTGTTTACAGAAGTATTTTATAATTTCGTAGCGTCTTCGTTTCCTCACTTTTCACTCGCTCACTGACTCGTTCCCTCGCTACCTAGCTCGTTCCTTCGCTAAATCGTTCCCTCGTCTCCTCACTCCCACGCTCCTTGGCCCCTTCACTTCCTCGCACCCTCGCACCCTAGCTCCCTCGCTTTATCGCTTTCAAACTCCCTCGTTCCCTAGCAACCTCAATCCCTCGCTCCCTCGCTCCCTCGCTCCCTCGCTCCCTCGCTCCCTCGCTCCCTCGCTCCCTCGCTCCCTCGCTCCCTCGCTCCCTCGCTCCCTCGCTCCCTCGCTCCCTCGCTCCTTCGTACCCTTGTACCCTCATACCCTCACTCCCTCGCTTTCTCGCTCCCTAGTACCCGCGTACTCTCACTCCCTCGCTCCCTCGCTTCCTTGTTCTCTCTCACCCTCACTCCCTCGCGCCCTTGTTCCCTCGTTTCCTCGTTCTCTCGTTCTCTCGTTCCCTTGTTCTTTCGTTCCCTCGTTGCGTCGTTCTCTCGTTCCCTCGTTCCCTCTATCCTTCGTTCCCTCGCTCCCTCGTTCTCTCTATCCTCCGTTCCCTAATTCCCTCGTTTCCTTGTTCTCTCTTTCACTCGTTCCCTCGTTCCCTCTTTCCCTCGTTCCCTCTTTCCCTCGTTCCCTCGTTCTCTCGTTCTCTCGTTCCCCCATTCCTTCGTTCTCTCGTTCCCCCGTTCCCTGGTTCCCTGGTTCCCTGGTTCCCTGGTCCCCTGGTCCCCTGGTTCCCTGGTTCCCTGGTTCCCTCGTTAACCCGTTCCCTGGTCCTCCTGTTCTCCCGTTCCTCCGTTTCCCCGTTGCCCCGTTCCCTCGTTCCCTCGTTCCTTCATTCCATTGTTTCTACGTGATCTCGTGACCTCGTTGCCTCGTTGCGTGGTTGCCTCGTCCTTTCATTGCCTCTGTCTCTTGGTGCATCGTTGCCTCGTTGCCTCGTTGCCTCCTTTCCTCGTTCCCTCGTTGCCTGGTTGTCTGGTTGCCTGGTTTCCTGGTTGCCTGGTTTCCTTGTTTCCTTGTTTTCTGATTCACTGGTTTTCTGGTTCTCTGGTTCTCTGGTTCCCTGGTTCCCTGGTTTCCTTGTTTCCTGGTTCTCTAGTTCCCTGGTTCCCTGGTTTCCTGGTTTTCTGGTTCCTTGCTTTCTTGGTTTCCTGGTTTTCTGGTTTTCTAATTGCCTGGTTTCCTGGTTCTTCTGGTTCCCTGGTTTTCTAGTTCCCTGGTTCCCTGGTTTCCTTGTTTTCTGGTTCTATGGTTCCTTGGTTACCTGCTATTCTGGTTCCTTGGTTTCCTGGTTCCCTGGTTTCCTTGCTTCCTGGTTTCCTGGTTCTCTGGTTTTCTGTTTCCTGGTTCGCTGGTTTCCGTGTTCCCTGGTTGCTTGGTTACCTGGTTGCCTGGTTTTCTTGTTTCCTTGTTCTCGGGTTTCCTGATATTCTGGTTCTCTGGTTCCCTAGTCCCCTGGTTTTCTGGTTCCTTGGTTTCCTGGTTTCCTGGTTCTCTGGTTCCCTGGCTCCCTGGTTGCCTGGTTTTCTTGTTTCCTTGTTCTCAGGTTTCCTGATATTCTGGTTCTCTGGTTCCCTAGTCCCCTGGTTTTCTGGTTCCTTGGTTTCCTGGTTTCCTGGTTCTCTGGTTCCCTGGCTCCCTGGCTCCCTGGTTTCCTGGCTCCCTGGTTGCCTGGTTTTCTTGTTTCCTTGTTCTCAGGTTTCCTGATATTCTGGTTCTCTGGTTCCCTAGTCCCCTGGTTTTCTGGTTCCTTGGTTTCCTGGTTTCCTGGTTCTCTGGTTCCCTGGCTCCCTGGTTCCCTGGTTTCCTGGTTCTCTGGTTTCCTGGTTTCCTGGTTTTCTTGCTTCCTGATTCCCTGGTTCTTTGGTTCCCTGGTTTTCCGGTTCCCTGGCTTCCTGGTTCCCTGGTTCCCTGGTTTCTGGTTTCTTTGTTTCCTTGTTCCCTGGTTTTCTGGTTTCCTGGTTTTCTGGTTTCTGGTTTCCTTGTTCTTTGGCCTTCTGGTTTTCTGGTTTCCTGGTTCCCTGGTTTTCTGGCTCCATGGCTTCCTGGTTTCCTTGTTTCCTGGCTCCCTAGCTTCCTGGTTCCCTGGTTCTCTAGTTCTCTGGTTTCCTGGTTCCTTGGTTTCCTGGTTACCTGGTTCTCTGGCTCTCTGGTTTCCTGGTTCTCTTGTTCTCTGGTTCCCTGTTTTCCTTGTTCCCTTGTTCCCTGGTTCCCTGGTTCCCTTGTTTTCTGGTTTTCTGGTTCCCTGGTTTCCCGGTTTCCTGGTTCCCTGGTTCCCTGGTTCCCTGGTTCCCTGGTTCCCTGGTTCCCTGGTTCCCTGGTTCCCTGGTTCCCTGGTTCCCTGGTTCCCTGGTTCCCTGGTTCCCTGGTTCCCTGGTTCTCTGGTTCCCTGGCTTCCTGGTTCCCTTGTTTTCTGGTTCCCTGGCTTCCTGGTTCCCTTGTTTTCTGGTTCCCTGGTTCCCTGGTTGCCTGGTTCCCTTGTTTTCTGGTTCCCTGGTTCCCTGGTTCCCTGGTTCCCTGGTTCCCTGGTTCCCTGGTTCCCTGGTTCCCTGGCTTCCTGGTTCCTTGGATCCTTGGATCCTTGGATCCTTGG